ATTTCAGAATTCAGGGAATGAACACACTGTGATGATCACTTGCATTAAACCAAAAAAGCAAAACTTGTTTAAAGAAATGTCTACTGACATGTAAACCCTTGTTCACTTCTGAAAGAGAAACCTCACAAAGCCAGAAAATGTGTTGAGCTTCGCATGTCTGGGTTGAAGAGTGCTATTTCTGGAGAACGAAAAGATCATTTTTCAAAGTCAGTTTCAGAAATGATTGTGCCTTCATTGATGGATCACATCAAGTTATCCTTTGAAGCTTTAAGAATAAGTGAGAACTTTGAGAGAAACTGATTTTGTCAGAAGTGTGGCCGTTGTGTTGGCCATTCTTGGAAAGTTAACCCTCCCTCGCTTTCCAGGGCTCAGCTAAGCAAGTGTCAGGGTTTCATTCGCTGCGGACAGTCCCCGCTATTACTCCCCCTTCCCCGCCTCCCAAGAGTCAGTTTTCCTGCTTCCAGATGTAAGGCCACTCCTCCTTCCCGCCCACCTCACCTCCCAAAGGAAGAAAAATCTTTCAAAGAACTTGTAGAGAGTAGAAGCTTCTGAGCTCAGTCAGTTCACTCACAGTCCTCGATGTTGCAGCACATCTGCTACTAATCTCATCTGGGAGCACAGTGGGTGCCCAGTAAAAGGGGCGATTTCAATAGGAACCCTTTCCTTTCCCTCTCACTTCGTGAGTTTCATCAGGTGGCCAGTCCCTGAACTGGCTGCCTTCATCTTTGCCGTGTGCGTGGAGAGGTGACTGCGCGTGGTGCCATAGAAGCGTGGCCAGTGCTCAGTGCCGAGGAGATCCAAGCGTGTCTGCGAAGGAAGACCTCACTGGGAAACGTTTTAATAAAGCTGCTCTATCGGCTTGCTTAAAACTTAGGTCGAAACATCAGAGGGGAGGAAGTGGCCTACCATACGCTCGGTTCCTGAGAAAGGACTATCTTGGAGAAGTTGCCCAGGAGTTGGAGAGAAAGTTTGGGTTGGTTTCTTTGCTCCTGGCATCTTAAATTCCAATTCGGGTAAAGACTTTGAATAACGTCCTGACCTCGAAGATAAAAATAAGTAGTGGCTTGGACAGTGATTTCTTAAAGAAGATGCTTAAACATGCAAAGCCCCCAGACTGCTCGCGTAAGGCCAGCCCTGCACAGAGCCCGAGCCTGTTGCTTCCTCGCGCTTCCCCAGTGACAGGAGTCATAGCAGACCTGGAAAAGAGGGACCATCTAAAGTAACAAAAGAAGAAATAGTCAGGTACCGCCAAGCCGCTGCAATTGGGTTNGGGTTGGTTTCTTTGCTCCTGGCATCTTAAATTCCAATTCGGGTAAAGACTTTGAATAACGGCCTGACCTCAAAGATAAAAATAAGTAGTGGCTTGGACAGTGATTTCTTAAAGAAGATGCTTAAACATGCAAAGCCCCCAGACTGCTAGCGTGAGCCTGTTGCTTCCTCCCGCTTCCCCAGTGACAGGAGTCATAGCAGACCTGGAAAAGAGTGACCATCTAAAGTAACAAAAGAAGAAATAGTCAGGTACCGCCAAGCCGCTGCAATTGGGTTGGGAGACCATAGAATTGGGGGCCACACACCCGCGGACAAAAGGCTCCCGCTTTCGCCTTTTCCAGAAGCGAGCAGGCCGGGACGCAGCTGCGGAGAAACAAAGGTGCCTCATTTGCACAGCTCTGGGACGCGCAGCGACCGAAGCGCCACCATTCGGGAGAGGCCTGCCTGGGGGAGTCACAGGCTCTGAGCCCGGAAAAGCTGGCCGGAAAAAGACTGACTTGACCTGGGGTGGGAGAACTGACTCTCTAAGATGCACCTTGCCCCCGAAACCATGCCCGCTGGGTGGGCGCCCGGGAGAAGCCAAGTTGTGCCCAGCAAGGATCCAAAGCGGGAAAATGACCGCAACCCACGGCGAGGCGCCTGTCCTTCTAACAGGAAGTGACCCTTAGCTTAAAGCCTCGGGATATCACCCTGGGGCCGGTGCTCTGGAGACCCCTGGATGTTTTCTGAGAGGCTGCAGAGTCACAGGCTCCAGTGGGCAGCCCAGGAGTCAGGCCTGGGGCCTCGGGGTTGGGGTGGTGGCGCGATGAACGGGAGAGAACGTTCCTGGGTGCAATTGCAAAGTTTTTCTTCTGCACTACAGAGGAGTTACTCTTTCAAACTCTGAGGCTTGCTTGGCAAAAGCACGTTTGCCCTCTCTATTGTAGGGTGTGTGTGTGTGTGTGTGTGTGTGTGTGTGTGTGTGTGTGTGTCCGGAGGGGGGGGGGTGAAACTGCGCACTCAGAAGACGGGCAGCAGAGGTGAGGGACATGGCTGGGTACTGAACTTCCCTTCACAGATGGTGATAGGAGTACGCAGGGTCGAGTCACAGTCCAAGTGGGAGCAGTGGGCAGGACAGCGCAGAGCTTCCACCAGCGGGTAAGGGGGGCTGGGGTGGCCTCCAGGCCGGGCTTCGCGGTTGCCATAGCGCCGCGGCGGAGGCGACTGGCTGCTGGCGGCTCCTAGCCTCCCGAGGGTGGGGGATGGGGGAATCACTAGATGCCGCCTCCCAGCAGAGGCAGTGGGTCTCACCAGCACCCAGAGGCTCGCCGCCCAGGAGCGCCTGCTCCACCAGCAATTCCAGCCCCTTCCCTTTCAAGGCACGGGACCAGGCATGAAGCACTGGTTTGACTTTTGAGCCAAAGTTGAAAATAACCATTCTCCAGAGTGGTTTATACACGCTCAACCATCCAATTCACTCAGAACATGTTTACTCCAGAAGAAAATAAAACTCCCACCATTGCATCAAAATAGTCCCAAAATGAAAATGTTGCAGTGATTACAAGGTACATAGTCTTTCCCCACAACGCAGGTCAGAAGTGGAAGAAAATGGATCTCCACGTGGAAGATGTTTGAAGTCAATGTAGAAAATGTCAGGTTATCTAAAAACTGGGCTGTTGGTTTAGAATATCAAAGGTTTGGCATGGAGGCCTTTGCCTAGTACTGTATTTCTTAAGGATATTCTTAGTAAGTGTTGGTCTAAGAAAATGTATTTTTGTGCGTGTCAGCTCTTTGGGAAAGCTGTTATAGACTTTGCTACATCTGCCAAGATTTTTAATATGAAGATATGAAATGATCAGCGAATGTAACAATCTAATGATTCAGCAAATATTGTGCTGGGAGACCAGAGCCGCAATAATTAAATCTTTAGAGTATTAGTGACAGTTATGCAGCTCCAAGTCTTCTTTTTTTCCCACTCAGTCGGCAAATACATTAACACACACTCATTCACAAACACACATCTGAAGATACTTCAGAATTCCACATAAGTAGGTTGTAATACTCAAAATATTGAGCAAAACTACCTAACTGTAGTACTTACTATGCTTGAAGCAGAACTGCTGAAAATATACACATGCATTCACGTACACACAGACACATTTCCAGTGATATAGGGACTTATTTAATCCTGTCCAAAGAAACAAGCATTCCTGTGAATGCTTGTTGCTAAGAGCAACGTGCTTAAGTACCATCTAAAGGCATGAAGAAAGCAGTGAAACTACTACACTAGGAATCCAGCTAGAACCCATTGTCTCTTTTGTCATTACTAGCCTTCTTGACTCCAGGTGTCTATGTGTGTAGGGGGACGGGGGGAGGTGAGGTTCTCCTCTTTAATATATGTGAAAGCATTCCTACCTTAGTTCCACAAAGCCTGGGAGAGATGGGGATTTTTCCATTAGAGAAGAAACACATGAGAAAATGGAAAGACAGAGATGTTGCCAGCATGATAGGAGATGCAGGCAATCACTCTTCGATTTAAATTTGACTGACAATGTATCTGCTTTTTTCTCAAAGACACACTCAGAATGTTAAGGTTTCCTGCACTCTTTGGTCTAAATCCACTTGAACTGTCAAAGGAGATGCCTGCAGTTGGAGCGTTTACCACCTTTGGCTTTCTCCTCTCTCACTCTTATCTACTTTAGGGAACTTTCCCTGACTAGTTCTGCTCATACTAAAACTCCATTGGCCATCGAGAGCGGGCTGGGCTGAGCTTTGCCCACACTTCATTTCCTCCAAGCAAACCTTCTGACCAGGGTTTCCACTGGAGTCCCACGTTTAGATTTTCCTTTAAGCTCCAAGGAAACTCTGATTCTTAGGAAAGCAATGTTTCCCTAAAATATACCTACCTAGTGTTTTTCAGCATGCAGAGTGAGATAAAGATGCAGACTTAGACCCCCACAACTACCCTCCCAGCTCCACTACTAATTACTACATTCATCATTTATTCGTACAGGTCGCGCAGACAGCTGTAAGAGGGAGACTCGGCAAGTCAAAAACAAAAACAAACAAAAAACCTTCCTTATGACGATGCTATTGTATTTTTCTCTGGCTGAGCAGCAGCCTCCCCGTGTTAGGTTGAGCCTTGAATCTCGCAATATTTTTAAAGTTCTGCATCCCAATAGGAGCACCACGGATTGAGAAAGTGATAAAATTAACCTAAACGGCTCTCCGACAAAAGAAATCAAAAGGGTTAGTGCCTTTCAATTGCTTGTGAGGACCTGCCCTGGTCCCTGGCGGAAGCGCACAGACGCAACTCGCCCAAGAGTTACCAGATATTAACTTAGCCCCGCAAGCTGAGAGGCTTGCAGTCCCCGGCGCGCACTTTCGCGCGGACCGCTCAGCCCTCCAAGCCCGGAAGGCTCCGCGGGAGACCGGCAGGCGCTGCGGCTGGCGGTGTCCCCCAGCAACATCACCATCTCTGTGGCAGGCTACTGTGGAGAGGTCATGCAGCGACCACCACCACACGCTAGCACTCCCTTCACCCTCCCGCGGCTAGACATAGAGAGAGAGAGAGAAAGAGAGAGAGAGAGAGAGAAGAAAATAAAAGCACAAGGGGTTCTTTAAAACCCCGGGAGGCGATGGAGCAGTAAGCAGGTCGGAATGCACCGAGCCCACCGCCACGCAGAGTGAACCCGCTTGTTTACATCCGGCTGCCTTGGAGCCAGATAACAGGCAATGGAGAGGGATCTTACCAAATCTTAATACATGTGTGGTTCCTTGAGAATATCCAATCCACAGTAAACAGAGCAGGAGTCTAATGGTGCGCTTGAAGACTGGATTACTTAGAAGCAGGGAAATAATCTTCATGGTGTTTCTGTGCCCACACGCGCGGCACCCACTTCCCCGATCTAGCGTTAGGCTCCCGGTTCGGGCAGGAATGAGGATGCGTCGAGTGCTGGCCGCAGACACGATCAAGGCATGGTCACAGAGAGAGGAAGGAGTCTCCGCTTCCCAAACCCATTAGCAATCGCTGCATGTTCTTCATTCACTGCGCCAAGGAGCAACCTTCCACTGCAAGGGATGGTGGGACATCCATGTTAGTCGGGGAGCATCCGGGAGAAATCCAGCACGCACACCCACAATGTCCGGCCGCGCGAGCCTGGGGAAGCAAAGGAGGAGGAAAATCAATAGGAAATCCAGCCTTGGAAATGGACTAGGTGTCGATAGTGAGCCACAGTCCCAGCATAAAAGGCGCTTTGCTCGCAAAGGTTTTGCCAGGCCCTATTCTGCTGCACTGCTGCACAGCTTCTGACGTGCAGCCAAGATTAAGTGAGAAAAATTGAGATAGCTGCTCGCCTCTTAAGGCTCACTGCCAGGGAGCTTCCCAATATCTATTATGCAACCGATCTGATAGCTCGCCTTGAGTTGCAAGAAAGAAGTCAGATTTATTTATTTATTTACGTGGAGAAAATTGCTTTTATTTTCAATAAGTCTTTGCTAAGAAAGTGACTAGTATTTGCAAGCAGACTTCTTAAAATTGATTGAGATGTATTTTAATAAATAACTAGCTAAATCAAAGTCACTTTGCCTAGGAATTGTAAAAAAGGAGGTAATCTAAGACAAATCTAACGTGATTAGGTTGAAAGACAGTCTTATTTATACTTTTAAATTTTGGCCAGGAATGAATATAGATTGGAATGCAATTGGAGAGGTGAACCTAGTCTTTAAAAACTTGAGTGGGGCATTCCTTGATTACTAACCAGGAGTAAAGAGAAATTTCTTCAAGTGAACTTTTAGGGGGAAAATGTTGAATCAAATTGAAGGAATCATATTTTCCCACCTATTTTTAGCTCATATAAAATAATTGTACGTATATAAAAGACAATGTTTGAATTGGTGCAGCAAACTCCAACCTATTGAATTTGAGCTTCAATAACTTATGCCCCAATTTCTTCCAATTTCAGTTTTTTGAACATTTTTTTTTCTTGAAGAGACAGATCATAGCTTGGATAACAATAAGTGTCATAGCTTTGTCTGAAAAGGTCTTAAACATTTGCTAGTTTTCTGGTGGAAATATTTACAGTCCCAGGTAGTGACTCTTGGCTTTCATAAGCAACAATTTACTCAAGAAAAAAAGTACAGAAATATATTTTCTTTTAACATAAAAATGCATTTTTATTGTTGAAATAGGTAATAAGTGGCCCACAGATTTAAAATGTCATGCTAATATTTTACATTAATAAGAGAAACTAACTTGCATAGAAATAAATATATCACTTTTAACATTTTTAAGTGATTAAACAGTACAAAAGGCAAACGATTGGATGTGTATCTTATAATTAGTCTCTTTTTCATAACCAACTAACAAGGCATAGGTTAAAACTTATGAAAAATTATAAGATTATATCCTATTTAAAGACTAATTTTTTAATAAGGAGTAATATGATTACTATTTAAATCTTGTTATGTTTCCTCCAAATAGCAAGAACACACTAATGTTTTCATTCTATTATAGTGATTTTTGTGAATCTATATTTTCTTAAGATATTATAAAATGCTGATTTGAGAAGAAATCTACATTTTGCAAAGGTATTAAGTGGCAAAGATGGAGGCATAATTGTGGTGTCAAAAATAAGTATCATAAATGGCTAGATCTGGCAATCAAATAATCCAACTATTTGAGCACTTTAAAAGGAACACCTAGTGCTAAAAGCAAGGGTATCTAGCGACTCCTTCAGTCCATGTTTAAAATATCTCCTGTAAAACATGTACTGCCCAACATGTTCTTTCTTGTATTTGCTGTCTCATTTATTCCATTCCCAACTATTTGAGCACTTTAAAAGGAACACCTAGTGCTAAAAGCAAGGGTATCTAGCGACTCCTTCAGTCCATGTTTAAAATATCTTCTGTAAAACATGTACTGCCCAACATGTTCTTTCTTGTATTTGCTGTCTCATTTATTCCATTCAATTCATACATTTTTTGTTTTATCCTAGCAGAGATAATAATGATTGCCAGGGCAACAATAAATATTCTTAGTATTTTCATCTGCCAGTATAATTGATATCTACTACCAGAAAATGGCATGTTCTGTTGTGACTAATCAAAATACTGCAATCTTGCAGTGTAGATGGCATTTAGTGTAACCTGAGAAAACAAAATTTACCATACAGAACTCCTTGTTCACGTATCCTGTTAACAAAATGGTATTTGACATTACTGTTGTAGCTTATCTACTTAAAACTAGGATTCTGAACTATTTGTGGGGTGGGGGGTTATTACTGGATGTCTAGTTGGAAAAGTGAAAAATCAAGTTTCCAGAATCATGAAGTTCTAACAAAAAATTAAACAGTAAAAAATCTAGGATAAAATTTTCTTACTATTAATTTGTCCCCAAAGAGCCAACTTTGCACACATGTGAAATTAGGTTTATTTACATCCACCGACTAAGTTGAAAGGCTTTAGCACAACAGAGAGCAACTCCACAGAGAGCAACTCCACCTGTCCAATTGAACTTCTGCGGGACTGGAGACGACCTTTCTTCAGGACCGCGGACAGCGCTCCAGGCTTGGATTTACTCTGGAGGAGTAGTAGTACATTGAAAGTAGTACAATGAATGAGTAATATGCGATTTGAAGTGAAGTGTGCATACTTCTACTATTTAGAGTTAGGAAATTTGAATTATTGCATTTTTTACATTGTTAAGAGGACAGTTTTGTCAACTGTGTTGTATTTTTCAGTGTAACTAGCTGGGATTGCTTGACATACTTAGGATACACTAATCATCATCATTTCCAGGGCTACTACTACAAAAGCCACTTACATTAACTATGAGTTCCCTCATGAACATTAAACTACTTATTTCTCAGTACAAAAAAATGCCTAAAGGACTACAAAGAATTCAGAATGCTGAATAACATGCTGTCAATATTCAGTGGCTAAAGACATTTCTACAGTGTACAATTAGTTATCGCAATTCTCCGCCTCCAGATTTCCATCTGTTACGAGGGTAATAAGATTAATTCCTGTTTTTTTCATTAAACTTCACTCACTCCCCAGGAGAAAAATAAAGAATAAATTTTCTTCTTGAATACCACAAACCACAACAAAATGATTTGATGGTATAGGAGATGCCTTATTGTATGGCCATTTTGAAGTTATTACAAATTTCTCCCCAAAGCTAATACCACACATCTAGTTCTGAGGCTATACAAAGGATTAATAAAGTCATTATACAGTATTTCACTGACCAGATTTACCTCTTTTTAAAATTGTGTCTATTCTGTGACTTGTCCCTTTTTTAAAGGAAAAAACAAAACAAAACAAACACTATTAGGTGTCAGGTGGTCATATATATTTATTAATAGTGAGATTTATATAATTTATTATATTATCTCATTTGCTTTTTTCATTGCTATTTTAACCATATCACACCCTTTATTCCTAGGATCAAATGCTCTGTAGTTTCCAAGGTCAAAACAGAGATGACAAACTTCGAACACAAACATATATGCACACACAAAGAGGAGCTGCGTTTAAAAGTAAGCTGGGGGGGGGGACACAAAAGGTTTATATTGTCAAGCCTATGATAAATTAACAAAGAAGATAATGCATATCATGTTCATGCAAAGCTTGTTCCAACAACAAAAACAAAAAGTTATTAGCTTCGTATTTTGTTATATTTTTATGTTTACTGACAATAATGACCTCTTATTCTTGGGCACTATTACTTGAGAAACAATTTTAGTTTCCTATTCTCCCAGGGAAAATGAATCTTACTCTAGTTAGCTGCCACCTGCTGGGACATGAACAAATGTGTAATAATCTTTATAGCACAACATTTAAAAAGACAATACCTATACCTTTTACTGGAAACACAAATATATATATAATAAAATATATATCCCAGGATATATATTTCAAAGGTGTTTCAAAGGCTGTTTCATGCCATATCTATATTTAAATTTTTCACATGGAATTCTTACTAAGGATTCCACTTGACTTGTTACCTAAGACCTGCTGTTATGTGACATCTGAGAAACCTCATCTCTATAGTAACACCTCACCTATTCTTCCATGCAAGTGGCCTGTTATATTGCCGCTTAGCTAAAATAAACAGCCTGCTCATCCACGCATTAAAGGTACCACAGAATAAAGTCAGGGCTGAGACCAGTTAAAACCACACTGTTGCTTACTGGCAATTCACTCTGCCTAGCTACAAATGTTATGCTATCCCTTGTGATTCTGAACACATTATCAGCTGTTCCACCACATTCTGCTGCATTGATGATTAATGACATTTAGTTTTAATTTTTGATGCCATAAAGTGTATATCAATTAAGAAATCGAAATGGATATATTTGCATGTCCTGGAGTCCCTCCCTCCCTCCCTCCCTATCTCCTTTCCTTCCTTCCTTCCTTCCTTTTAAAATTGTTGCTTGTGCAATCTTCAATGGCTTTAACTAGAAGAAAACAAACAGGTAAGACTTCCAGGCACCACTCATTTCTCTACCACCTTCCCCCTATGCATTTCATTTTTTTGTTTGTTTATTCATGAGTTTCTAAGGCCACTGGGAGGAAGTTGATAAGCTGCCTTGGTGGTTACAGGAATGGGCTCTATAAAAAGTTATAAAGTAATGAATTAAGACAAATCAAGATTGAAATACAATTGCATGTCTTCCAGCAACTAAACTACGAGGCTAATTAAGATTGAAATGAATCAATCATCTCTTGTGAAATGAAAATAATCATTGATCCATAAGGTAGTGTCTGATGACAGAATACTTACAGTATGAAGATGAAGAAATGATAGAAGATAATCTGTGCGTTACCAAAAAAAGATAGTAGCAGCAAGTTTTCTAACATTCCCCATTCCCTAAATTGGAAATCATTATCTAAGGAGCCTCAGCTCGGTCATGTTGCTTGATAAGGAAACCCTGTATCTACCTTAATGGTAAATACATCAGGAGGTGAGGTCGGTTAAAAGTTCTTGACGTTTATAATCCACCCCAGTGACATTATCCCCGCCCTACCCTAATGGGATACCCTTCGAGTTTTTCCAGCTCTAAATACTAGCGCCTGTTAAGATGAATGTCTGTGCTTCCTCAGCACAGAACTAAGGATCAGGGTTGATGGAAGGATGGGTGGATGGAAGGAAGAAAGGACGGGGGGTTCCGCAGACCCGCAGGCAGACGCGCAGCTTCTTGCCATCTGTCTAACTCTTCGCCTCGCGTAAGTTCTCGTAGCAGAGGCCACTTCCTGACACGTCCACTTATTAAATTATTTTATGTGGCGAACACGAGCGCCTGCAGCCAACAGAGCCACTTGCATCCTTGACGGGAATTGGCTGAAG